TCGCGAAAACACTTTTTTTCTCTTAATTTTAACAGGGAGGTCGGAGGTCAAATTTTATTCCATTAAAATAACAACGACATCATCATCATCATCGCCTGTCAAACACTCGTCATCAATAACAGGGACGGCAACTACGGACTCGGAGACAACGCTGCCGCATACGGTGCAAGCGACACGGTGTGTGTGTGTGTTCACTGTGTAAGGTACACGGTGTGTGTGTGTGTTCACTGTGTAAGGTACACGGTGTGTGTGTTCACTGTGTAAGGTACACGATGTGTGTGTGTGTTCACTGTGTAAGGTACATGGTGTGTGTGTGTGTTCACTGTGTAAGGTATACGGTGTGTGTGTGTGTGTGTTCACTGTGTAAGGTATACGGTGTGTGTGTGTGTGTTCACTGTGTAAGGTACACGATGTGTGTGTGTGTTCACTGTGTAAGGTATACGGTGTGTGTGTGTGTGTTCACTGTGTAAGGTACACGGTGTGTGTGTGTGTGTTCACTGTGTAAGGTACACGGTGTGTGTGTGTGTTCACTGTGTAAGGTACACGGTGTGTGTGTGTGTTCACTGTGTAAGGTACATGGCGTGTGTGTGTTCACTGTGTAAGGTACACGGTGTGTGTGTGTGTTCACTGTGTAAGCTACACGGTGTGTGTGTGTGTGTTCACTGTGTAAGGTACATGGTGTGTGTGTGTGTGTTCACTGTGTAAGGTACACGGTGTGTGTGTGTGTGTTCACTGTGTAAGGTACACGATGTGTGTGTGTTCACTGTGAAAGGTACACGGTGTGTGTATGTGTTCACTGTGTAAGGTACACGGTGTGTGTGTGTGTGTTCACTGTGTAAGGTACACGATGTGTGTGTGTGTTCACTGTGTAAGGTACATGGTGTGTGTGTGTGTTCACTGTGTAAGGTACACGATGTGTGTGTGTGTGTGTTCACTGTGTAAGCTACATTGTGCGTGTGTGTGTTCACTGTGTAAGGTACACGGTGTGTGTGTGTGTTCACTGTGTAAGGTACACGGTGTGTGTGTGTGTGTTCACTGTGTAAGCATCACGGTGTGTGTGTGTTCACTGTGAAAGCTACATTGTGCGTGTGTGTTCACTGTGTAAGGTATACGGTGAGTGTGTGTGTTCACTGTGAAAGCTACATGATGTGTGTGTGTGTGTGTTCACTGTGCAAGCTGCATTGTGCGTGGTGTGTGTTCACTGTGTAAGCGACACGGTGTGTGTGTTCAATGTGTAAGCGACACGGTGTGTGTGTGTGTGTTCACTGTGTAAGCGACACGGTGTGTGTGTGTGTGTTCACTGTGTAAGCGACACGGTGTGGTGTGTGTGTTCACTGTGTAAGCGACACGGTGTGTGTGTGTGTTCACTGTGTAAGCGACACGGTGTGTGTGTGTGTGTTCACTGTGTAAGCGACACGGTGTGTGTGTTCAATGTGTAAGCGACACTGTGTGTGTGTGTGTGTTCACTGTGTAAGCTACACGGTGTGTGTGTGTGTTCATTGTGCAAGCTACATTGTGCATGTGTGCGTGTGTACACCATTCTCTCCACTTAATTTAAGCACCACAATTAGTGCAATTCCTAGCACCATCAAACTCGCGCGACACGACCGACGCTAATGACTTAATTGCTCGCGAGACGAGTATCGGCTTCATCGGCATCAGCAATTACGGCATTTCGTTTTTGTTTGTTTGTTTATTATCATTCTCACAGCAACAAGGACACTTTGTTTGGGCTTCGTAACGTTGTGGACGAGAAGCGATGCCAATGAGTTTAAAGTAAGCGATTGAAGGTTAAGCGCGTGGCGTGTATTTACACCGGATAGGTCGCAGAGAATCGGTTCGTGTAGGAATCCCAAAATCCCGTCGTCTGTTAAACGATGAGCGAAACTCAGGTGCCGATCCCATCCCTGTGAGACGCTCTCAGCCTTGCCTAGACCACCAACTCGGGAGCTTTAACAACGTTCAGAGGTGTGATGCTGCTGCTGTTCCTGCTGCTGCTGCTGCTACTACTGCTACTACTGCTGCTGCTGCTCCTGCTGCTGCTACTGCTGCTGCTGCTACTGCTGCTGCTAATCGCGTACAACAGAACAATTAGGAAGGCGCCACTCACATCGCTGGGAGTGAGCGACGCTCTCAGCCTTGCCTAGACCACCAACTCGAGAGCTTTAATGACGCACAAAAGGTGCGCTGCTCACAGCGGGACATTGCTATTCTGTTTCGTTCGTTTCCCATCTCGCGTTTGCTGTTCGTCACATCGACAACCCCGCGGAACGACTCCATGATCCTCTCTGTGCCTCTCGAATTCCCTGCCTGGTCCAACAAAACCTTGAGTCGGTGGTGCAGCTCAGCCGTGGAGGCGTTCGCACCCTTGTTAATGACAACGATGTCAACTCTAGATTTGAAGCTTTCGCGACTGCAAGGATTCATATTCTTAGGTTTTTTTCGGTAAAGTCACGTAGGTAAAAAATTTAAATTAAAAAAAGTAAAATAAAATCAATAAAATAAAATGATATAATAGAATATTATTTTATTTTTATTTTACTTTTAAGTAAAATAAAAATAAAATAAAAATCACGACGTTTCGGAGGCAACACAAGTTTCCGTCTTCAGGTTGGAACAGTCACAGCACGACAGCTGTGTCAAGTGACGATAGCTGTATCAATGCCTATTGATACAGCGAGCGTGCTGTGACTGTTCCACCTGAAGACGGAAGCTTGTGTTGCCTCCGAAATGTCGTGATTTTTATTTTATTTTTTATTTTACTTTTATTAATTTTAATTTTCTACCTACGTGACTTTACCGAAAAAACCTAACAACGATGTCAACCCGCACGGCGTCTGCTCCTCGCTCTCGTAGCGAGGGGGCGACTCGGAGGGGACGACTCGGAGGGGGGAGAGAGAGAGGACGACTCAGAGGTGCCAGGGAGAGGAGGAGGAGAAGGAACCGCAGATGAGGTAGGCACCAGCAGCACCAGCAGCAGCAGCCACGTGGTGGTGAAGAACCCGGCGCCAGCAACAATTGCCCGAGCTCTGCGCTCCTCTACGTGTCAAGGTGTCATCGGCCGATTAACGACGAGAGCGTTGGACGGAAACCTCGGAGCATCCGGAGAAAATGCGCGTGTGCGAGGGGGCAACGCTGTATCCCCGTTACGGATGGGAAACAGGTGGAGTTGACACTTTGCTGAGTACAGCATTTTCGTGTCGGAGCCGGGAGTTACTGCACCTCCTGGACCACCCGTGGTGAGGATGGAGAGTGGAGAACGAGAGAGAGAGAGAGTGAGTGAGAGAGAGGACGACTCAGATAGAGAGAGGACGACTCAGAGAGAGAGGACGACTCAGAGCGAGAGTGAGTGAGAGAGAGGACGACTCAGAGAGAGACGGAGGACGACTCAGAGAGAGAAGACGACTCAGAGAGAGAGAGGACGACTCAGAGAGAGAGAGAGAGGACGACTCAGAGAGAGAGGACGACTCAGAGAGAGAGGACGACTCAAAGAGAGAGGACGACTCAGAGAGAGAGGACGACTCAGAGAGAGAGGACGACTCAGAGAGAGAGAGGACGACTCAGAGAGAGAGGGGACGACTCAAAGAGAGAGAGGACGACTCAGAGAGAGAGGACGACTCAGAGAGTAAGAGGACGACTCAAAGAGAGAGAGGACGACTCAGAGAGAGAGAACGACTCATAGAGAGAGAGGACGACTCATAGAGACAAAGGACGACTCAGAGAGAGAGAGGACGACTCAAAGAGAAAAAGAGGACGACTCAGAGAGAGAGAGGACGACTCATAGAGAGAAAGAGGACGACTCGGAGAGAGAGGACGACTCATAGAGAAAGAGGACGACTCAGAGAGATGAGAGAGAGATGAGAGATGAAAAATCATAACAACAATAATAGAGAGAAGTGCGTTGATAACGTTGGGGGGGGGGGGGTGAGTTGCGATGATTTGCTAACGGCACCGAAACCCAGTGGGCCTTTGCTCGGATGTGAGTCCACCGGTGGTGGAGGAGCACGGGGCGAGAACAACTTGGGACGTTGGGAAGTGATGGGTGGGACGAGTGGCGTGCAGACTGGAGGAATGACGTACTTCTGCTACGTTTCCTGTGCACTTAAAACATCAAGTGTGAAGTAAAAAATAAAAACACGCAAGGGTTTGTGATCGAATCGGAAATGCACAGCGGCGGCTGCAAGTCGACCTGGTAGTCGACCTGCAAGTCGACCTCGTAGTCGACCTGCAAGTCGACCTCGTAGTCGACCTGCAAGTCGACCTAGTAGTCGACCTCGTAGTCGACCTGCAAGTCGACCTGCACGTCGACCTTGTAGTCGACCTCGTAATCGACCTGGTAGTTGACCTGGTAGTCAACCTGCAAGTCGACCTCGTAGTCAACCTGCAAGTCGACCTCGTAGTCGACCTCGTAGTCGACCTGCAAGTCGACCTCGTAGTCGACCTGCAAGTCGACCTGGTAGTCAACCTGCAAGTCGACCTCGTAGTCGACCTCGTAGTCGACCTGCAAGTCGACCTCGTAGTCGACCTGCAAGTCGACCTGCAAGTCGACCTGGTAGTCGACCTGCAAGTCGACCTCGTAGTCGACCTGCAAGTCGACCTCGTAGTCGACCTTGTAGCCGACCTCGTAGTCGACCTGCAAGTCGACCTCGTAGTCGACCTGGTAGTCGACCTGCAAGTCGACCTGGTAGTCGACCTGGTAGTCGACGTGCAAGTCGACCTCATAGTCGACCTCGTAGTCGACCTGCAAGCCGACCTGGTAGTCGACCTGCAAGTCGACCTCGCAGTCGACCTGCAAGTCGACCTCGTAGTCGACCTCGTAGTCGACCTGCAAGTCGACATGGTAGTCGACCTGCAAGTCGACCTGCAAGTCGACTGGTAGTCGACCTTCAAGTCGACCTCGTAGTCGACCTGCAAGTCGACCTGGTAGTCGACCTTCAAGTCGACCTTCAAGTCGACCTGGTAGTCGACCTGCAAGTCGACCTCGTAGTCGACTTGCAAGTCGACCTGCAAGTCGACCTTGTAGTCGACCTCGTAGTCGACCTGCAAGTCGACCTGGTAGTCGACCTGCAAGTCGACCTCGTAGTCGACCTTGTAGTCAACCTCGCAGTCGACCTGCAAGTCGACCTGGTAGTCGACCTCGTAGTCGACCTCGTAGTCGACCTCGTAGTCGACCTCGCAGTCGACCTGCAAGTCGACCTGCAAGTTGACCTCGTAGTCAACCTGCAAGTCGACCTCGTAGTCGACCTGGTAGTCAACCTGCAAGTCGACCTCGTAGTCGACCTGCAACTTGACCTCCGCCACCGATTCGTCGCACACAGAGACAGCAGCCTCTCCTCGACCTCTTAGTACTCATCAGTGATTAATTAAACATTTTAAAAAATTCCAGGGCGGCCAATCTCGATACCTGTGCCATCGGCTCTCACCCATCATCATCATCATCCTCTTCATCGGCCATCGTCATTATCCTCAACGCCCATAACCATAGCCCATCATCATCGCCCATTATCATCATCATCGTCGTCCATCATTATCATTGTCCATCATCATCGCCCATCATCATCATCGCCCATCATCATCATCGCTCACCATCATCATCATCATGCCCATCATCATTAGCATGCCCATTATCACCATCATCACCATCATCATCACCATCATCGGCCATCATTATCATCGCGCATCATCATCGCCCATCATCACCCTCATCATCACCATCATCATCATCACCATCATCATCACCATCATCACCATGCCCATCATCACCATCATCATTACCATGCCCATCATCACCATCATCATCACCATCATCATTAGCATGCCCATTATCACCATCATCATCATCACCATCATCGGCCATCATTATCATCGCGCATCATCATCGCCCATCATCACCCTCATCATCACCATCATCATTACCATGTCCATCATCACCATCATCATCACCATCATTATCACCCTCATCATCACCATCATCATTACCATGTCCATCATCACCATCATCATCACCATCATCATTACCATGCCCATCATCACCATCATCATCACCATGCCCATCATCACCATCATCATCACCATCATCATCACCATCATCATCACCATCATCGCCCACCACCACCCACCGCCCCACCACCAATCAACCATCCCTACAGTCGGCGTAGTTCCCCTTCACCCAGTAGCAAATCTGCGCAAACTTGAGCGCCGTGATCCTCACGGCCACGTTGAAGTCTTGGGCCATCGCCTCGCCCGCCTCGCCCCCCACTTCCACCCACTGGTGGCCCGAGAACACCCCAACAACCTTGCGGGTCCAGCGACGCTTAGCGGCATCGCGCAGACGCAGGTACACGCCCGAGCCGCTCGATCCTGGTCGCGCGTCGCACCGCTGGTACGTCAACTCAGCGCTTTCCTCCGCCACGGCGCAGAAGCGGTACACGAGGCTCGCCGGACGGTCGTCGTCGAAGCCCGAAAAGTGGAGGCGTCGTCCGGCGGGCAACCGACCCGCCGGGGGGCTCACGCCCAACTCCATGAAGCGACGGTCGTGCGGGCGCCTCAACTCGACCACCGCGTAGTCGTAGTCCATGCCGGCGCCCGCGACGTTACCGCCGGGCGACTGCGACTGCGCCGGGCGGATCCAACCCTTGGGTAGGTGCGTGCGACGCACGCGCGACCACCTGAAGCTCGCCTTGTCGAGTGGCTGCTGCTGCCGCCGCGAGCGGTCGGGGCGGCCTTCCCCGCCGCGGCCGCCGGTCTTCCCCTTTTTCTCCCGGCCTCCGCCGCGGCCGCCCCCGCCGCCTCCACGCCGTTCGTCCGGCCCCGCCGAGCGCCGCTTGAGGAAGCCGACGCGCAACCGACGTGCCCCCTTGACGTAGTCGCGGCCGTCGTGCACGCAGTGCGCGGCCGTGAGCACGTGGCGGTCCGACACCAGCACGCCCGTGCAGCCCGTGGAGAGGCGCACCGCCGCCGAGAAGGGGTGCCGCTGGGCGAAGCCGTCCGCCGCGATGGTGAAGCGTCCGTCCGTGCCGTAGATCTGGCGGCGGGGACGGCGGCGGGGTGGACGCGGGGCCGGGCCGCGGGTGTCGAGGCCGTCGATGGCCACCTGGGTGAGCGTGCGGGTGCCGTTGTCGTAGACCTGCGGGGAGGGAGGGGAGGGAGGGGGGGGTGAGCGAGTTCCATTCGCGCTCACGGTGGCTACCAACCACCCGACACGGTCCGTGTTGAGTCACTTCAGTTCTCTGTTTAACCGTGAGTGTGTGTCTGTGTGTGTGGTTGTGTGGCTGTGTGTGGCTGTGTGTGTGGCTGTGTGTGTGGCTGTGTGTGTCTGTGTGTGTGGCTGTGTGTGTGGCTGTGTGTGTGGCTGTGTGTGTGTCTGTGTGTGTGTGTCTGTGTGTGTGGCTGTGTGTGTGTCTGTGTGTGTGGCTGTGTGTGTGGCTGTGTGTGTGGCTGTGTGTGTCTGTATGTGTGGCTGTGTGTGTGTGAGTGTGTGTGGCTGTGTGTGTGGCTGTGTGTGTGTGAGTATGTGTGTCTGTGTGTGTGTCTGTGTGTGTCTGTGTGTGTGGCTGTGTCTGTGTGTGTGTCTGTGTGTGTCTGTGTGGCTGTGTGTCTGTGTGGCTGTGTGTGTGGATGTGTGTGTGTCTGTGTGTGTGTCTGTGTGTCTGTGTGTGTGTCTGTGTGTGTGGCTGTCTGTTTGTGTGTCTGTGTGTGTTGTGTAGCGGTTAGCGCTACGCTGCGCTATGAACCCGACGACACGGGTTCGATTCTTGCTCACGGCCAACACGATTATCTGAACCGGTCCTGGGCCTCCCCTAGGTCGACTCAGCCCCAAATGCGTACCTGATTCGGTGTGTAAACATCGCCACTGGGGAGACAAAGGCGGCCGGGCGTGGTGCTGGCCACCCACCCCCTCGTGTACCGTTCTGGCCTTCATAGGTGCTCGGCACACGAGGGGGTGGGTGGCCAGCACTACGCCCGGCCGCCTTTGTCTCCCCAGTGGCACAATGTTTACACACCGCACCGGGTACTCATTCGAGGCTGAGTCGACCTAGGGGAGGCCCAGCACCGGTTCAGATAATCGTCACCGATATTGGCCGTGAGCGGGGAAACGAACCCGGGGTCGCCAGGTGTCGCAGCGCTAACCGCTACACTGACACTCACACACACTCACTCACGATCGTACCCACCCACCGTCTCGTACGACAACTGCTCTTGCAGCTGCTGCAGAAAGTCGACATCCACAGCGCCACCACCGTCACCACCGGCGGGCCCGGCGGGGTGTTGCTGCCACCAGGGCGAGGGGGGGCGGCACGCCAGGGAGGCCACGGGGCCGCAGGCGGCACGCGGCGTGGCTGGAGCTCCGAAGTCCGACGGATCAAGCGGCACGACCCGCAGGTCTCGCACCAGCGGAACGCGCGTCTTGTGCCAGAAGATATCGGCGCGGCTCGGGGTGGGGCACACCCAGAGGGCGACGAGGAGAACGAGAAGCAGCGGCAGTAGGCGATGGTGATGGTGGTGATGGTGGTGATGTGGCGTGTCTCGTCTTTGTTGTGCCGGAGCGCGTCCGTGGCTGTCACGAGGCTCCATCGTGGCGCTGCGTGAGTGAGACGCAGATACGCAGGGGCGGACACGCAAGGTGTTGGACGGAGTTGTTCTGGTAAAAGAAATTGGGGGATGATGATGATGATAGGCGTAATTAGCGTTGAAAGGTCGTGTTCAAGTCGTGGATGTTGTGGGTTTGCTCTCCGACGCACCGGTGGGCTGAAGTAGTATACTACACTATACACTACACTACATTATACACTACTCTATACACTACACTATACACTACATTATACACTACACTATACACTACACTATACACTATACACTACATTATACACTACATTATACACTACACTATACACTACACTATACACTGCACTTTACACTGCCCTTTACACTACACTATACACTACACTATACACTACACTATACACTACACTGTACACTACCCCATGCACTACACTAAACACTACACTATACACTACACTATACACTGCACTATACACTATACACTACACTATACACTACACTATACACTACACTATACACTACACACTACACTATACATGACACTATACACTACACTTTACACTACACTATACACTACACTATACACTACACTAGTATCTAATTGTCGCGATGTTTACGTGACACACCTTACTGGCTGTATCGGGCGGTGGAGGGTTACGACGCAACATTTACACTTACACCGTCAAACCCACAAACCTTTATTACGAATAACATTGCTCGCGAAAAGCCTACGTGTCAAACGAAGCGATTCAACTCAACTATCGAACAGTTTTTTTTGTATTCATATTCTTAGGTTTTTTCGGTAAAGTCAGGTATGTAAAACAATCAAATTAATAAAAGTAAAATAAAAAGAAATAAAATCACGACGTTTCGGAGGCAACACAAACTTCGGTCTTCAGGTGGAACCGTCACAGCACGATTGCTGTATCAAGTGAGATAAATTACAAGAAATCAGTCCTTGTATATATACTGGTTTTCTTGGAATCTCTCTTACTTGAAACAGCAATCGTGCTGTGACGGTTCCACCTGAAGACGGAAGCTTGTGTTGCCTCCGAAACGTCGTGATTTTTATTTTATTTTACTTTTATTAATTTTAATTTTTTACCTACGTGACTTTACCGAAAAAAACCTAAGAATATGAATCCTTGCAGTCACGAAAGCTTCAAATCTAGTTTTTCGTGTTTTATTTCACCAGGCTAGCTAAGGCACACTGAGCTGCATTGAAGCCCGTGTTTTCTAAGCCACCCGGTCATCACACGTGGCAGCCCGACAAAGCGACTGCTATCATCATCGTCATCGTCATGGCGTGGACATTTATTGCAGCCCCCAAATAACCTTGAACCGCGTGACGTTGATTCTAAATGTGGAGGGGGAAAAACCGGAGGACCCGAAGATAAATGCACGCGACCACCACGGGGAGGTGCAACATGCAAACTCAACATGTGCAGGTCCCGCATAGATACCCATGATCCCGCATAGAGAACCATGGTTCTACATAGAGACACGTGGTCCCAAATAGAGAAACGTGGTGCCAAATAGAGACACGTGGTCCCACATAGAGACCCATGTTGCCACATAGAAACCCACGGTCCCGCAATGTGTACAGTGTGGAAGCTACCCGCATGCCAAATTTCAAGTTTTATTGCATGTCGGGAAGTATGCTAAACATTTCGAACAGACACACACATTCACACATTTCCATTGTATATCTATATAGACAACAATCTTTGGCTCGATTGTCTGGCGGTTGTGTGGCATCTTGAGTCTGGGTCGCTGTCTCACACTGGGTGGTGCACTGCTCGCTGTGAGAAGCTTGCGAGTTGTGAGCTTGTGGGATGGAGTTGCGTGGAACATTCCGCGAACGTTGAAACAGAATCTTGGGGCATCACAACCAATGTGCCATCGCTGCCTTCCTCCTGCTGTGCCCTGCAACTTTGTCTGACATTCCCAGTCTCATCATCGCTACCATCATCATCACCATCATCACCATTATCATCGCTACCATCATCATCACCACCATCATCATCACCATCACTACCATCACCATCACCACCACCACCATCATTATCATAACCACCCCATCCTCCTCCTACTCCCTACACACCACGCGTCCCACCCATCACCACCACATCCTCCTCCTCCTCCTCCCTACACACCACTCGTCCCACCCATCACCACCCCATCCTCCTCCTGCTCCCTGCACACCACTCGTCCCACCCATCACCACTCCTCCTCCCCCCTACACACCACTCGTCCCACCCATCACCACCCATCCTCCTCCTCCTCCCCGCACACCACTCGTCCCACCTATCACCACTCCCCCTCCTCCCCCCTACACACCACTCGTCCCACCCATCACTACCCCACCCTCCTCCTCCTCCCTGCACACCACGCGTCCCACCCATCACCACCCCATCCTCCTCCAGGTGACCTGGTCTTCACCTGAGGACGGCTGCTTGCGTTGTGGCCGAAACGTCGTGAGAATTATTTTATTATGTTTTATTTTTATTATTGTCTTATTTCCCTTCTACGTGACTTTACCGAAAGAACCAAGAAGATGAATCCCTGCAGTCACGAAAGCTTTAAATCGAAAAATTCGTGGGTTTGTTTTTCCATCAAATTCAGCCACGGCGAGTTTGTTTTTTTGAGGGCTGGTGGGGCTCTCCTTACTCGCCCACTCCCCCCCACCACCACCACCCTCCCACCTCTCTCGTGTTCAAGGTCTTCACCTGCTACATCGGTTGTTGTTGGGGAGGCGGGAGGAGGGACATTCCACGTTGCTGTGGACGAGCACGGCTGTCGGGAGTTGATCCCTTGGAGGTTGCAGGGCGCATTCCATTCCGAGTTTACAAAATAAAAATGTATACTGCGCAGTAAACACCTCGATATGCCTACATTCGACAAAACTTTGTTTAGGTATCTCGATTTAAAGCTTTCGTGACTGCAGGGATTCATCTTCTTGGTACTTTCGGTAAAGTCACGTAGATGGGAGATAATAAAATAATAAAAATAAAACACAATAAAATAATTCTCACGACGTTTCGGCCACAACTCTCTTCCCCCTCCAACCCAGCTTAAATATACGCTTCCAAGCCTGGTGGTGTTTCATTCAGACGCTGTCTTTCCGACAGACCTGTTCTTCACCTGAGGACGGCTGCTTGCGTTGTGGCCGAAACGTCGTGAGAATTATTTTATTATGTTTTATTTATTTATTATTTTCCCCTTCTACGTGACTTTACCGAAAGAACTAAGAAGATTTGTTTAGGTATTTAACGAACTTTGGATATATTGTACCATTATTGTACACAGTAAGGTAAAATCAATAAACACACTGAAATTAATCAAACTAAACTAGTTTTATTTTACCAGGTAATGTCCCACTGAGCTGCCCATCACAAGTGATAGTCTCAAAGAAGTGGCTCATCGTGTGGACATGAATATCAGCCAATAACTCTGAACGCGCGGTGATGTGGATTCAAAATGCGGAGGGAAAAACCGGAGGACCCGGAGAAAAATCCACGCGACCACGGGGAGAGACAGAGAGAGACACGCAAACTCTAAATATACAGCAGCAGGCGTTGGGGTCGGGTACGAACCCACGACATCCTGTGTACCAGGCGAGGTAATTAACATCTCACCACGGGGAGAGAGAGACACACACAAACTCCAAATGTACAGCAGCAGGCCTCAGGGTCGGGATCGAACCCACGCCCTCCTGTGTACCAGGTGAGGTAGTTAACATCTCACCACGGAGAGAGACACGCACACTACACTATACACTACACTATACACTACACTATACACTACAATACACTACACTATACACTACACTATACACTACACTATACACTACAATACACTACACTATACACTACACTATACACTACACTATACACTACACTATACACTACACTATACACTACAATACACTACACTATACACTACACTATACACTTCTATACACTACTCTATACACTACTCTATACACTACTATACACTACAATACACTACACTATACACTACACTATGCACTACTATATACTACACTATATACTACTATACACTACACTATACACTTCTATACACTACACTATACACTACTATACACTACAATACACTACACTATACACTACACTATACACTACACTATACACTACACTATACACTACACTACACTATACACTACTATACACTACACTATACACTACACTATACACTACACTATACACTACTATACACTAAACTACACTACACTATACACTATACACTACACTATACACTACACTATACACTACTATACACTACACTATACACTACACTATACACTACACTATACACTACTATACACTACACTACACACTACACTATACACTACACTATACACTACACTACACACTATACACTACACTATACACTACACTATACACTACTATACACTACACTTTACACTACACTATACACTACACTACATACTACACTACTATACACTACACTATACACTACTATACACTGCACTATACACTACTATACACTACACTATACACTACTATACACTATACACTACACTATACACTACTATACACTACTATACACTACACTATACACAGACTCTCGCTCATCGTCCCACCGCGGGCAGCTGTGTCCTGGGCCTGCCCCGGGATCTTCCCCCAGTGTTACCTTGCTGCTGCTGCTGCTACAGTTCCAGGTAGAGTCTACCAGTGGTGGTGGTGGTGGCAGCCTTACCTGGTGGACCGGACCACCTGAACTCGCTCCGGTCGCTCGACTCGGAGCCTGTCCCGGCTTACCGAGCTCCTCACACGATCACGGAGAGTGAGCCCGGCAACCCTGTGGAGAATGGTCGTAAACAATAATGAGAATTTTACTTATATCTATCGATAAAACAAGTATAACCCGTAAAAACAAAGTTTTTCACTATAAATCCTTTATATGCGTGGCGGCTAGAGTCCTCTCGTCCTCTGGCTTGAGATGGCTGCCACCTATGGGTCAGATGATTGCATTGCATAATTAAGCAATTGGTAATTAAATATAATATTTTTGTCCTAAAAAGTGTAAAATTTTGGAAACAAAAATTTCACGAACATTCATTGTCACGCACAACGAGTCTGTGTGGAAAATGTCAGCTCGATTGGATCACGGGAAGTGGGTTAAAAAACGACCGAAAGATTTGCACGGTCGTAAGCAAGCAAGCAAGCGAACTTAATATAAAGGATTTAAAAATGGAAATTTGTGAATGTGTGTGTCTGCTCGAAATGTTTAACCATACTTCCCGACATGCAAGAAACTTGAAATTTGGCATGTGGGTAGCTTCCAGACTGTACACAATGCAAAAAGTATAAAAATTCACTTTTGTATTTTGGGAAGGGAGGGGGGGGGGCTCAACAATGGATATATTTTGCACGGCAAGTGAGCGGTGACGTCACATCTGTGATGTCACCCGCATGCGGCAGCGTCACGCAGTGTGCCTGCTGACGTCACGCAGTGTGCCTGCTGACGTCACGCAGTGTGCCTGCTGACGTCACGGACCCCCCCCCCCACCCTTTGATGTATTCATACAAGACAAGACCAAGGTTCTCTGCAAACCTCCTGGCTACCATCAAAGGTTTGTACACGAAGCCATCCAAATATACAAACACAGACATAATTTCAACCGTGATGAGGGTTACAAACTGAGTAATCATTGGAAAGATGTGATTAACCATGCAAAAAAGATTTAACTACACTTATTTAGCCAATCTTATTTGACAGACAACTATTACAGGTTATTGATAGACAGCCAGGCTTGTTTCTTTTTTCACACTATTGTTATGTAGGCCAGGCTTAGTCACAAACCGTACCTCTCCATAACAAAGGCTCACCCTCTTAAGCCTCACCTTACCATATTAATAAAAAGTGTGCCGTACTTGGCCCTTACCCCCCCTCTCCAACCATTATATAAACGGAGTGGTAGCTCTTGTAATCTCTCATTTACTTGATACAAATGTCGTGGCTGTGACGGTTCCACCTGAAGACGGAAGCTTGTGTTGCCTCCGAAACGTCGTGAATTTTATTTTATTTTACTTTTATTAATTTTAATGTTTTACCTACGTGACTTTACCGAAAAAACCTAAGAATATGAATAAGAATCCAAGTCCCGGGCGAAGCCGGGTAGTATAAAGCGAGTAGAAATTAAGTTTATCTGCGTATGGAACGATCGTACAATTCAGATTTATACTCGCTAAAAAGTCAAAGTATATCAAGACTCAAACAAGCTTGAGATGTTGCCCGTCTCTGTCTGGTGGCCCCATGAGGAAGTGGTGGAAATTCCACATTCCCATGGCGGGTCTCTTAAGAGAGGAAAAGCGTCATTAGCGAGCGCAGAATGCGTGCGAGGTTAATTGCGCTGAAGCACCCGTCAACAACACCACGCGTCGCGATGTT